AGTGAAGAGCAGGGTGAACGATTTCATCAGGATGTCCGTGATATCGAAAGATGCTACCAAGGAAGACGGAATGCGAATATGCTAGCTGACTACTGCTGGATGATCAAGCGGGAAACGGAAAATGGAAAGCGAAAACGTGTTCGGAGAAGCATCAAAGAGAAGAAGAAAAGGTTTCACAGGCAAAAAGACTGAACACAGAATGTTAAATATATCGTGAAGGAATTTTTTGTTTAATTATGAGAAATAATATGTTTAGTTCAATGTAATAAAATTAGTGATTTTTTCATCGCTGTTATGATTTTTTTATTGTAAACCCCTATTATTTTCCAAAAAAACTGTACGTGATATGAGGTCATTTTTGGATTCAGCATCCTAGAAAACATAAAGTTTAACAAAAATATTCCATGCAGCTGAAAAAAAAATTTTTTTGCAGACCTGTGTAAGTTAAGCTCTTCTTTGCAAGCATCTGTTCATTATTAGCTAGGTTCCCCATTTGCCGAACCCAGTACATCGTTGAGGTCTCATTTCACATCATAAATATCTTTAACACAGTATAGACCGGGTCTAGTACACGTTTCTAAACTATTGAGAAATGAACTTTACATTATTAAACTAATTTTATTGTGAGATTTTATGTAACCACAGTGAATAATATTAGTTTTACAGACTCTCGTTCAATACTAGTGTTATATAAAATGTATTATATGCTATTCACTTTAAAGTTTTACACTACTTTTTTCGACCAATGTCGAACCCCATCAGGGGTTAAAAACTATGGATGAGGAAACTGCTGTCCTCTGTATCGTTGCTCAGATTGTTAATATATAGTCCCTTCAGTGCGCATGTGTGTTCGAGGTGTATTCCCTTCTGTTGTGTTATGTTGCGCGTCTTATTTTCAAATAGTAGTAGTAAGTTTTATACAGACTTAATGTTGCACGTAAGACTGTAGAACTAATTGATACTAAGTGAAAAGTGCAACATACTGCTGCTATATGAATAAGATTTTTGGAATGAACAGTCATACACCATGAAGATGTAAGTAGCAAGTGGCTTCAAAATATTACTACCAAGCTACATAATTACACAGAGTCAAAGACTATAACCTTAGTTCACTTATGAATTCTCGAAAATGTGACTGTACTTTTCTTCACATAATAATACCTATATTTATACTCTTCTCCAAGTATAATTAGAATGATCAAGTTAAGGAGAATGAGATGGGCAGGGCATGTAGCACGAATGGGGGAGAAGCGGAATGCATGTACAATATTGATGGGGGAAAGCCAGACGGAAACAGACCACTGGGAAAATCAAGGCGTAGGTGGGCGGACAATAATAAAATTTCGATTGATCTGGCTCAGAGTAGGGATCAGTGGCGGGCTCTTGTGAACNCGATCTTAGAGAGTTAGGATAGGATGATATGGATTGGATTGATCTGGCTCAGAGTAGGGATCAGTGGCGGGCTCTCGTGAACACTGTAATGAACCTTCGGGTTCCATAAAATGCTGGGAAGTTCTTGAGTAGCCGCACAATTGGCGGCTTCATAATTCAGCTCGATTATTTATATACGTGCTTACTACACAGCCCAAAGGCCAGTTACAAAGTAAACACGGTCAAAGAGGCAAACAAAAGAAACACATACATAAAACATAGACAAAACAAGACAGCTTACAAATGGACAATTTTCAGTCCAGTGTNAGGCGCAGCACTACGATCAGGAAACACTGTCACATAAGATGTTTTAACAATATGCACTTAAGCTATGAATAATGCTCACTATATAAATTTTGTTATTATCATGGTTGGTTTTGGTGTTTGTCCCAGGCACTCACGATGACGCTTCTTGAAGAGTAGACTTACGTATGATGCTGTTTCTTTTAAGCGTATTTGCTAGGTATTCTGATTGGGATTTTCCGCTGCACGCGATATGATGTTCACTTTTCCATACAGTAGCCTCCCATTGAATTTAAAATTGTATTAAAATTTTCTTTTATATGTAAAACATTAGTTCTTATGTTAAAATATCGTGAGCTAACATTGGGTCATGTTGTGTTTCTCCTGATGGTGGGAGATATCGTTTATTTCTCTTGTTTGTATATTCTTATTATTAGTCGTGTAGTTTACGTGCGTGCCGTGTCGTTTGTACAAATCAAATTACAAGACAGCTTACATCATTTCAACAAAACAATTCACTTAGTGCAATCATACCAACGTGGCTCATTGAGAAGATGTATGTGTAGGTCCTACATACATTATTCCTGAACACAATATTTCTTATAATTTTTAATTAATAAACACTAATTATGAATTATGATGAAGAGACAAGTATTGGGGCCAAATGATGCTGATGATGCTGGTGGTGGTTATGATGATGATGATGATAGAAAATGACTACGGCAGAAGGTACAAAAAAGTTCCTATTAATTTGACATTTGAGTTGTGAAATTTCCTTCTCTACTGCAGCATGCGAGTTCACCACTGTAACTGCCAAAAATTAATTAATCTTTAATTACGGTAAAAGGCCGGGCGGTCTAAGGCACTAAATGTATTTGTCCTTTCAAATACTGCAATTGTGGGTTCTAATCCCACTCAATATATGGATGTCTGCGTTTTTCCTGTTACCCTGTGTAGGCAGCGGCCTTTCCACATGCTGATCACCCGTGCAAGGAGTCCTACCAAATGTCTATAAGATTCGTAATATTAGAATTGGTTCTAAATAGTAACAGGCTAGAGATCCTAATCCGTCAAGGTAGAAGAAGAAGAAGAAGAAATATCAGGATAATTAATAATCGGTTTTAACTTTGATTTTTGCGTAATATTTTTCAGGAAGTCTGACACTGCAATTTAGTGGCCGTATGATTTACTGTATTGTTTTGCGTTTATTCCTGTCTTACTGGATGCAACACAGTGTTTGGAGGGACGGAAATTTCGGAGTTTTCTGGCAACAGAAATCTGAGTGTTCGATGATAATGTGTCATAACTCGTATTGGAAAGAGGCATGACACGGTGACTTCTGGAACAGGACAGAAACGACTTAGTTAGTTAGTTAGTTAGTTATTGGAGAGGGTGGGTTTCCCCATGCACTTAGACCTATATTGGTCCATTGTGCTTCCCTCTATGATTTCTACCAGTCTCTATATCCTACCGGTACTGGTGCTTACCATCAGTCCCGCCCAGCCAGAGAGACCGGCTCTACTATCTGAGAGGTATCTATAATGCTTTCCCCATCTACCAGAGGTATTTGAGACTGCTGTTGGGCGGGAAACGTCCGTAATTTNACCCAGTGTTTGCTCATTTTACACATTTATGTGATAAGAAAAGCCGCACAAAAATTAATTCGGACGTCTGGACAATATGTAGAGTTTGCAGCCGCCCAATACAATGTGTGCGAGAAATACCTTCATTCACAGACGTGGTCTTCCCTATTATCCGGCATTAACGGTGTGAAAGAGGCTTGCTGACGTAAGAAATATCCTGTATGAAGTTGGCTGATGCTTCACTATATTCTGACTGATTTTGCAAACGGTACCATACGCTCATAGTTGTCTTTGTGTTTATTACTTTGAATCATTGAACGGAAGTGAAGTGCAGGTTTGGAATATTTTATTATGGTAGTCAGTGTTCATTTGTCTTTGTGTTTGTGCTCTATGATTTATCTTTTTAAATCACGCTGTCGCCACATCTGCTTAAGTATAATCAGCGGTAGGAAATTAACGTATTATTATGTTTACACTGCGCTGAAAAGCCCTCGTATTTCATGACGTCGAAAATTGTGCACAAGAGACTGCGTTATCTTTATTAATTCAGAGGTCTTTATAATCACAATTGTTTACGTAAGATTTTTTATTTACTGATATTCCTTTACTTAATATAATGCCGAACTTTGGAATCAACTTGTTGTCACTCATCCTTCGTATTCAGGAACCTCACTGAGGTTTTCCGGATTTTACTCAGTACTTCCGTGGAAAAATATTGGCTAGCATCTCAAATCAGCTCATGCCCACTCCTTTCCAGTTCGTTACTCATTAACAGTCCTATCAAACGATGCTGATCTGAGGTAAATGCGTCGTAAGATAAACCATAGCTCTCTATCTATCTATCTATCTATCTATCTATCTATCTATCTATCTACCTATCTATCTATCTATCTATCTATCTATCTATCTATCTATCTATCTACCTATCTATCTACCTACTTACCTACCTATAACCCTTATGGTCCTTGGCCTCTTTTTCAGTTTCTAAATCCATACGCAGTCGGTAGGACTCCTTGGACGGGGGACCAGCCCGTCTCAACGCCGCTACCTACACACAGAACAACACAAACAAAGAATAAACGGACACAGATATCCATGCCTCGAATGGGATTCGAACCAACGATCCGAATGTATGAGCGGGCGAAAACGGTCCATGCCTTAGATCGCTCGGCCACTGTAATCGGCAAGATACAAAATAAGCAACTAAAGATTCTTGTACTTCTCCATACTCAGAATTTTATTCTTGTTTTTCAGTTAAGCCGTTATCGGTTCGGCTTTTGTCGAAACCGGAAGTACTGACAGCAGGAGCACAGTACAATATCACGTGTGAGGCGGTAGGTTCACGTCCTCAGGCGAAGATTTCGTGGCACCGAGGGAAAGAGGAGTTCCAAAGAGGAGAGGTAAGTATTGTAGGCAGACTGAAGCCTCTTCTTATAGAGCGTGTTCTCTTTCTTTGTCCAGAGAATCAAGGCTGTATTTTCGGATAACATTTATCCATTAGTCCAAAAGATTACATCAGTTTGTTTATACATATGAATTCCTGTATGGCTTACTGAAGAGGGAGATAGATTTTTAAACATTTCAATGAAACAGTACTGATCTCTGTGGAATGAATTGTAATAATTAATGACAACTTAAAGTATTTACGCAATTAATTCGGTCATATTTAAGATTTTCTAATATTAATAAAGATCTTCTTCTTATAGCAGAATGCATGTAATTTAAGGAATTATATTTTGTGCATTTCATGACCTTGACGGTCAGAGTTAGGATTTTAGACAGGATCAGGGATTTTTTACTTCACCAGCAAGTCCATACCGACCTTGTGGCTTACCTAATCTCCTCTTCAGCTTGTTTCAGTGTAAAATACCTGAGTCCGAAATAAACACTCAAGTTACCACCAATGTTGTGGTAAATGATGCGTGGAACTACGCTATAGTGTACCTTTTGATATATTACATCCTTCATAATGAGTTATTAATTTATTGTTTATTTCTTCTTATTAATATATGAGTATTCCTTTGGAATTTTAAGAAAGATCTGGGGCTAAAGTGAGTCGTCTTTAGGCTGTGTCATAACTTGGGTTCGATCCCATGTCAAGTAATGTGGGATTTGTGGTGGACAAAATAGTACTGGGTCAGGTTTTTTCCGAGTACTTCGGTTTCCCCTTCCAATTCTCTTTCCACCGACTGCTCTATCATCCGGAGCTTGTACAAATGGCCAAATAGTGTCCGATATACCAACTGAACTCAGTCACCCTACCCAACAAACTGAAAAATTAATGAAGTCTTCTTTAGTGGAGCAGGACCAAGTAACGCATACAAATTAGCGACTAGAAGTAACTTGAAGCTTTATAAAGAAAGCAACCTGTAACAAGTATCGAAACTAAGATTTATAGTTGTTGACATTAATGGAATAATATTTATCAAGAAGAATGCGGATACAAGCTTTCTGACTTCAGAAATTAAATTGATAACACATGTCAGTTAACCTCCAAGTCTTTAATTTCGAATAATGCCTAATACATGTCTCGGATTTCCTCGTGTAATCTATGTAGACAAGTCCAAATGTTCAAATCGGACTGCCGGAAGTGAGTTCAGGTTTTAGATGATGTAGAGGCTATCTTGAATATGTAAAGCCTTGACGGTATATCTGAGACCTGAATTTTCTTAAGTAATTTAAATTTATCCCGTAGTAAAGGCATGATATAATATTACGGTCCTCCAGATCCAGATCTAGTAATCTGTATTACCAATACAGCACTTCGAAAGATACGGGAAACCTCTGTAGTGTTCCACATTCAAATAAATTGAATAAATTATGAGTAATATATTCAGGTCAACGTTATGAAGTCTTAATACTAAGACTATTGAGTGCAATATTAATTTATTATAGCTTTCTACTATGAAATATTGGAATGTGTAACAGTCTAACTTCGACAGACAGCTAGTGATCATATACAGTTGTAAGATCAATAAAACTTGCGTTCCTTACCATTTCTGCGGATCATTCAACACAGAGGCAGCATCGTTCCCTGGAGTTATTGCCAATCAGAACACAGCGTGAGAATTGAATCAAGTGGTTTACCCGAGTAAATAATCTTGAATTTCCTACATCAGCAACAGGAGAGGGACACAAGATATATACATCATCGAAAGTCTTCCCTCTGGCACCCACATCTCGGGTAACCGAACCTCAATTTCCCAACCTATTCCTCATATAAACAACCTTATCTTCCGACACTGTGTAATCTGAAGACTGGCTGTTACTATAAGTATTAAAAGGAGATCAGTCAGGAGCGGTCATCCAATAGGAAGAAGGGACGAGGCTAGATATAGTAGTCCCCATAAGTTGTTATGGTGTAATGTTTAATTGGACCGCCTCTGTGGTCTAGTGTTTTTTTTTTGTCTTTTGTAATCCTTAATTGACCACAGGAACTAATTTCCCTTAACATTTGAAACAGAAATGTGGAACATTCCCGTTAAAGTAAATTTTCTGTGATTTTTCGATAAAAGAGGGACGTGCTCTGAAATTGTATATTGTTCACTGATGGTGCACATGAACTTGCTGATCTGCAGAATTTATACATCTCATTATATTTAAAAGTAAACGCTCTGGGTATTCTTCAAGTGCATACGGAGTTCTCGGAAGTGGAGTGATGCGTTTCGTTTAGACGCGTAACAGCCTCAATGAAGTAACAGTTAAATATGTCACATTATGTAATCCAGTCATGTTTTCCTCTGAAAACTCGTATCGCGTTCAATAGCAGATAATTTGTATGATCGATAATCGAAAAAAAAAATTCGTCGAGGCAGGAAGAACACGACTTTTCCATTTGGAGTTCCATGTCACGGGACGACTGGAATGGGTAAAATTCTGCAATAATTTTTCCGCGTGATAACATTAATCGCTTGTTTCTGTTAAAAACGATAGTTCATAGTCAATCGTCATCATTTTTTTCCAATCATTTATATTGAGTCGTTTAGGTGAAACGTGTAATCTCGTACGAATCGCCCCTCTATAAAATGTTATAAATGAAATCCATCAGAATATTGCTGTGTTTTTTTTTTTTAATTTTTCTAGCATGTTGCATATTCTCAGGACTTGTAAATCCTATGAAGCAGGACTTTTAGCTAACTAGAGCGGAAAGCTACTGGTAACTTACGAACTACTGAGAGAGTATAATATGTAACTTGACACACGTGACCCGTGGAAAATTGTAACAGGATTTGAAAGAAGCTAATTTTATGCGACCTTACTATTAATTCTTGTGTCCCAGCAGATTTAAATTAAAATTTCCAGTCGTAGTTTTAATCAGTTTCCTGGCTAGTCTTCCCTAGGAAATCAATAGTTACCCAGTTTTATGAGTTCTCTGAACTGATTTTAAAAGGAACGCACGAGAAAGAGGTGGTGTATTTCTCTCTTATATTTCAGTTCCAAACTGCCATTTGCGATAGATTTGAATGAAATTTGTCATTAGGGTTTGCAGTACAACTTCTTAAGAGAATGCAATTTATGTTAATATCAATGCAACATAAATGCTAATTTATATGAACGTCAGATTAAATTGAATAAATTTTTCGGGGGAAATAGCTCATCATACATAAATATTGTAGATAACATCGGATATAGACCGCATTTTATTGATCTCTCGATTGGGCTTGAGGACGGAATCAACGTCCATTTCCGAAACGTTATTTCTAACAAAATTAGGACGAAGGATGCTGACTAGACAGTTGATCATTTTAATAATTTATTGTTCTTTTCAAGAGCTCAAGGCCGTTTGAGGCTACTTATTATAATAATTATATTCAGTTAAAATATATTGATTTCAAAATGTCTATTATGCTTTGAACATACAAATATAGATTTCGCGGGGAGCGAATGTGAATCGCGATTTTACATGGAGAGGGTCGAATGGCAATTCCCCTTAATGTATAAGCCGATGAGCGAGATATTTAAAATTGAACTACAATCATTGTGCCCTTGAAGTATGAAAAATAAGTAAGTCTGAATAAACAGCAAGCCAATGTACTGTGGTAACCACCTACCCCATTCTGCAGTAAGAGCCAAGTTATTTGTCTCGCCAAATTCTGAACACTTATAAGGAGTGTGAAATAGATATTCCAGCAGCATTAAAGAGAAAATATGTGGTTAATATCATGGAACAGTTTTATGTTTTAGCTGTATTTTATTTCTTTAATTATCTCCACAGGACTCTATGACGGTTGTAAGGAAGTACCAAAGTCTCAAAATAATTGACTGGCTTTATGGCACTCTTGCATATTTCCTTTCCAGAGAGCTTACATTTTACTATAGTCACAGTGGTCTTAGTTCTAGTCCCTCCGCATAAAGTAAATAAACACACATATATATATATATATAACATTTTAAATAACAGGAAAAAAGTAATTACCTAGAAATAAATTCCTATAACTACAGAATAAATTAAATTATAAGCCTACGAAGATTAACTTAAGCATGTGATATAACGTAAAATATCCTCACTGGATTCCTTGTGTTAAGAACACCACTAGAGCGTATTCGGTTGAGGCACTATGCTACAAGCCGGAAGGTCGTGGGTTAAAGTCCCGATGAGGTCACTGGATTTTTTTCAATTGACCTAATCTTTCCAACCGCACTATGGCCCTGGGGTCGACTCAGCCTCTAATAGAAATGAGTACTAGGAATATTCTTGGGGTAAAGGGCGGCCGGCGCGTAAGGCTGAGAACCTTGCCGCCATCTATGAGCCGATTGTCTAAAAAATGTGAGACCTCAACGTCCCACAACCCTATGGGTCTTCACGACCTGTCACAAGGATACATTTACTTTTTTACTTTACTTTTACAAGGTGCCTTGCAAAATGCTAATGACCTTAGAGAGGTTTTGTTGGAAGAGTTTCATAAAATTTGCTGTGTAGGAGTGGGTTTCAAGGCGCATCAGCATCTGCGGCTGTGACTAGATAAGGACTGCACACAGTAAATTACAGAATAATAATAGTTAGCATCGTTCGGTGCGATTCAATTTGTAGATGTTCATTGCCTTTACATGTTTCGGTCAGCTGGCCATCTTCAGAGGGTATAAGATCGACATGTTCATGAACTACTATTACCAATTTCGTAATACATGCTTAGAAATGTTTATGTATAAATTTATTTTAAATTATTTGGATTAAACTCTTATTAAAATCTACTACCTATGAACTTGAACCGAGATTGTTTGTGTCCTTGTGCCTCTTCTGTTAAAACGGAATATTGGGGTGTTATTCGTAGTCATCAGAGGTCCTCTGAGTGGTGCCCCTCCCCCTCTTTATCTTGTTATGGTTCTTGTATCATTGTGATGTCTGGTTGTTTCCTTTTTGCTGTGGTTTGAGAGCAAGATATCCGGACTTCGAGGATGT